ATGCAATTATCGCATGCCAATGTGCATTGGCTCATTTAGTTTACACTCGAAGTGGATTGGTCTCTCTAAGTGACATCCCAATTCGTCGGTCACCGACGTGACGTCGAGAGTGACCGACTGAAAGGGAACCAATTAGCTGTGCCATGTGATAATGATGTCATTAGGTCAGGTTGAGTTAGACCTACCGGACTCTGTATATGTGCCTGGAGCTTACTGCCGTGAAGCGGATGCCACTAAACTTGGGGGGACGCCGGGCGAACTGAATCGCATAGCCGAGGCAGATGGTCCGCAGAAGCCAGCGAGACGGGCTGAGTAGCACTAGCCAGGCACCCAGATACCGTGCAAGCGGGACCAGCGGAACCACCGCCGTACCCGCAGACGGGGCAGCAAGGTGGAATGCAGGGACCCAACTCGGGCGGTTTGTGGGCGGACCGAAGAGGGTCTGAGTGTGCGATGCAAGGCTTACCTGGTTCCACAGTTTGGCAGAGGGTGCGTGAGTAGGGCCTTTGTTGACGCTCTCGAACCACCCGCTGCTGCCGGCTGGCGAAGGAGGAGGATGAGTGAGGTCACGTACACACGTACAGAGCGCATACACACCTCACGCACCAGATGCCGTGCGCGCGCCCAAAGACAGTTGCACATAGTGGTGTATTAGAGGAAAAAATTATATAAATATTGTTCGGTTTCTGGCACAAACCGATCGTTTCGTGTCTTAGGACATCAATGTGTCGTCACGAGCCGGTTGCAATATGCTGCGCTTAACGGGGGTAATGTCATTTCATGCATTCTGAGTTATTTACACTGTTAATTAAGAGTTTGATTCTTATGCGCACTCAGCGACCCGAGCAAGAGCAAGAGCGAGCCGCTTAACGCGTTTCTTTCATGGTTACAGAAGTCTTCGGCAGCTCCGCAGTTACTTGCTCGAGTTACTAGCCTGCCTCCGGCTGGAGAGAGTAGCCACTTGCAGTCGGGGGCGGAATTAAAGCGGAGACGTCAAGTCAGACACTTCTGCTCCTGGTAATGATGCTCTCGCAGTGTTTGCATACATTCACAGATGAAGTGAATCGGAGGTGGGCACGGAGAGCTGAGTTAGTTTGGGCAGGAGGAGGTTTGGGATGATAGTGTTAAAGGCTGAGCTGAAGTCCACGAACAGGATCCAACAGAAACACTTTTTATACTGCTTAATACAGTGCCATCTATTCATGAATAAGTTAAATATTAACATATGCTATTTAAATACCAATTAAGTGGGGGTGTATATGCTTTCATCAGTGTTTTTTGAAGTGTGACTCAATATAACAGTGCGACTACCAAAAAATGCTTTTACTGTTATATAAACACAGATTTGTGAGCATTGGAATTGAATTGTTGGAATAAGCATGCAACACACATCGTGCTTGTCATCACAGAATCTAACCAATGAGAATAAAGTGTGTCGTCATCAAGGCTTTTGCAG